TTGGCAGATCTTAGAACAATATGCGACGGGTCTGTGGAATGGGGACAATGTTGAGAATAAGCGAATTAAGGTTCTTTGATTCTGTTAAAACAAGTTGATTACTGTAAGCTAGGTTAAAGTTTGGAATTTTTTTCTCATAAAAGTGGCCAAACTCCAAGGTCAGGATGTCAAATCTGGTGGTACCCTAAGATAGGCTTTGTCACAAAGGAATATCCCTTGAAATATGAAAGCCATAAATTAACCCCACCTACTCAAAGGTTATGGCCAATGTTTAAGATTTTGCGAACAAACAGACAGACACACGGATGAACAGTGCAAAAATTATAAACCCCCGAATTTTCTAATACGGGGACATTAAAAAAAGGACCAGGAATTTATTCATTTTACATTTTATGTAGCAGTTGGAATATAGATCTGTTCAAGTGACAGTCTTAACTGACTGTGCCCATAAGTTCTTTTCAGAATATAGAAGTTAACAGTATTCCTCCACGTTTTCTTAATAAAATGATTATACATACATAGTTGTTTTTTTTTCATTTATCTTTCACTATTTATTATTGATCAGTATTGTTGTTTTGTACAATTTGGTTTTATCTCGAAAATTTTATTTTAACAGAAGCTTCTCCCCTATCAAAATAGCAATTTCATTATCAACATGCATTTTCAAATATTCGTTGAGTAGATTCTGTTTAAAGTTGTCTATTTCAAGAATTTGATGATCCTCAATTTTCCCGCCTGTTCAGTCACCCAGAGGTTGTTATCGCTATCAATGCTTATTCCAGCAGGACGGACTAGACCACACTTTATCACAGTCATAGGAACACCCTCAGAATCCAAAATGTGAATACAGTTGTTGTTTGTATCTGACACTAAAATGTGACTAAGACTGTCCGTGGTAATATAACGTGGTGCAAAGCTCTCCGGAAGTTTTGGGTTTGTTTTGCAGCAATATTTTGCCTTGAGACTCCCTCCTCGATTTAAGATGATCACTGCGGCACCATTCCAATCCACAATACAGAGATCGCCATTGTTATTTAGTGCAATCTGAAGGCATTTGTAAGGCCCCTCGGTAGCAAACAGGTTCTGTTTCTGTTCGTCAAACTGGAATGTATGTTTAACGATACCACCGGAATACTGCATGACTGTGAATTGCAGATTTGAAATTCTGTCATTGCATAAAGCAACAAATTTATCTCCTGAAGGGGATACACATATACCCGATGGTATCCAAACACACCTAATAATGGTCTTCACTTTGTCATCATTTATCATCTTGACGCATTTATCACTGTAATCTGTGAAAAGAATTTCCCCTTTTCTGGTAGTTGCCATTCCAAATGGAATACTTCCTTGCGAGGTCAATTTTCTAAGCACTAGCCCTGAGGATGTGATTTCTCTCAGTGTATCATCATTTCCACTTATCCAAGCCGCCTCCTTTGTCACACAGCTAACACGGTATAGAGGGCTGCATTCTGTATCTATGTTGGTTATGATCGTGGATGTCGCAAGAAACCTGCTAAAAGCATGTAGTCTGCTTACCCAGTCAATTTCTGTCTTGTATTTATACGTCGATGCTTGTAGATTCCCCATCAACTTGCAGACCTCGTCCATGTAGGGTGCTGTTGCTGGTTTGAATTGGCCAAATGAAACGTATAGTCTCTGAGGAAATTCTTTCATTGCTTCCAGCTGCGATTCAAACCTAAAGATTTGGTCTGTCCTTCCTGCAATTATTTCTTTGTTTTTCTTAATGATTTCATGAATGTTGTCCAAAAGTGTTTGAAACTTCGATAAATTTTTCTTGAGGTTTTCCAAATCTTGTTTCTCTGTAGCATCAATATTTTCAAGTTTCTTTTTGATCGCGCGTTCCACTGTTCTCTTTATCTCCTCGCCATGCCTAATGACATCTGATTTCAATCTATTACTGTTTTTTGGCAGTTCCAAAATGTCTTTTTCTATCTGCTCGATGATGTTTCTTAACTCTGGAGCAATAACACCTTTTAGAAATTCTATTTCATTGTAAATAGTTTTCTCCTTAACAGCATATACTTCGTTTATCTTACTCAGTTCGTGTTCAGCGTGGACCTTGGATACGATACAGTCACTGCAGATGGGAATGTTACATTGCTGACAGTGAATTTCACATCTCTGTTTGGAATGAGTAAAACAATATGGCTGCGGGAAAAATTTATATTTCATGGAGTACTTGATTACGTCATGATTTTGAGAAGGCAGGGATATTATATGTTGCCCAGCACATGCAGTACATAAATTGAATTTGCACGTGTTGCAGATGAGTTCAGCTTTGTTTGGACAAAGAAAGCAAGGAATCAAAACCTGTGCAGTGCTTCCTTTGTCAACTTTCGGCAATTTTGGAACGTTCTCCATGGTACTCTACAATCTAAAATGAAAATCAAAAAGTTTGAATTTGGTATATTTTATAGCATACAAGATAAAAAGTTAATTATTTTGAATACAGTATGATAAATCCAGTGTCACATTTCAGGAATTCTGTCTTCTATTTGTCGTCCCTTTCATTTTGTATATTTGCATTGTTCTTTTCTTTTAATCAAGACTTTCTTTAACTAAGAAAATATAGAGATAAACTTTAAAACTGTGATAATTAATTATATGTTCAGATAAAATATAATCTTTATTTTACAAGCATTTCTAAGATACTTGTATTTTGAGAATGCGAGCGCCATAAGAACATCCGCATAACAAAATACATTTATGTATAAAATCTTAAATGCAGGATACAATTGTTTCGATATGTTGTTTTTTTCGAGATGGAAGTGAATCTGAGTTGTGTGTTGTTCTCATTGCAGTCTTTGTTTTAGATGATGCCTAACAGAGGAACTCTCGCTACTACACAATAATTTCAGAGTTCTTGTATGTAATTAGACTGAATAACTCACAAAACGCACTGTATTGCCTATTAATTGTAATCAATTTAAGTATTCTTTACGTACATATTTTATTTGACTAAAATAGAGTAATAGTCAAACGTTGCAATATTTGATAATCTTGTGATGTATATTCAAAATCTTGTGATGTATGTTCGAAATCTTGTGATGTATATTCAAAATCTTGTGATGTATATTCAAAATCTTGTGATGTATGTTCGAAATCTTGTGATGTATATTCAAAATCTTGTGATGTATATTCAAAATCTTGTGATGTATGTTCGAAATCTTGTGATGTATATTCAAAATCTTGTGATGTATGTTCAAAATCTTGTGATGTATATTCAATATCTTGTGATGTATATTCTTAAACTTGTGATGTATATTCTATAATCTTGTGATGTATGTTCGAAATCTTGTGATGTATATTCGAAATCTTGTGATGTATGTTTGATAATCTTGTGATGTATATTCGAAATCTTGTGATGTATGTTCGATATCTTGTGATGTATATTCGAAATCTTGTGATGTATATTCTATAATCTTGTGATGTATGTTCGAAATCTTGTGATGTATATTCGAAATCTTGTGATGTATGTTTGATAATCTTGTGATGTATATTCGAAATCTTGTGATGTATGTTCAAAATCTTGTGATGTATATTCAATATCTTGTGATGTATATTCGAAATCTTGTGATGTATATTCTATAATCTTGTGATGTATGTTCGAAATCTTGTGATGTATATTCGAAATCTTGTGATGTATGTTTGATAATCTTGTGATGTATATTCGAAATCTTGTGATGTATATTCGAAATCTTGTGATGTTTGTTTGATAATCTTGTGATGTGTGTTCTACAATTCAGTGATGCGTGCAATAAAATTGCATGACGCAACAGAAAAGTAAGGACAATTTTCATTGGTTAGAAATAACGAAAGTAGCCGGAGCGGTCGTAATGCACACATTGACACAACTTCGCAAGCATGAAATTGACGAATTCAACCTAAAGTCAAAATTATAGGTAATAGAAAAATTGTTTTGGTATCAAGGAGCACTAAGTCAGTCATAACGTGAAAAGTGGGAATCAAGAACATTAATTTGATTTGTTTGTAGGTACATCAAAAACAATTTAGTGGCTTATTGCTGGACTAAACAGCTAAAGGATGTTTTATCCTATTTTTACGTCCTCATATTGTAGTGATGTTGATTAATCGGTATGATTTATTCTATATTGGTGCTAGTTAGAATAATCTAACTGTGTCTCGGGACAAACTCTCACCACGCAGGGTTCGAAATTGCATGGCCCATTGCAGCTGCATTGACCGTAGCCCTAGTCCAGGGACGACTTTGCAATAAATAAATAAATAACACGACAAATTTTTAGGAGAAGGGGAATGTCTGGAAAAGATTAATTGCTATGCATCATTGAATATTGTCATTCACAAATTTGTCCAATTATTTTTATAGTAAATGTATTGAGCCGGGCTCATTTACAGGATAATGAACAAGGACTGTGGTGACAGTTTAAAATCACGTTCAGACGTTTAGAGAATATGTAATACACACAAAAATATCTCAATGGCATGTATAATATATTAAATAGATTTAAAAATAAAATAAAATATAGCTAGAAATTAACAGCGAAAAATATTTATCACGTATTGTGTCGGGGTAATCCGGCTTTATATACAAACAGAAGTAAGTAAACACCGATGCAGCAAGATTAAGGTCAAACGTCTCTGCACTGATGTGTCCTCAGCGGGGAGATTTGCATTAAGTTATTAATGATGTTCCCTGCATTTGTGTTAGCCTGATAGTACAACCTTTATTTATAGAATCAATCTAATTCAAATTAGATGTTAGATCCGCTTGCATACTCGCTACACTAACATCTAACACCTTTCGCACCCGTTGAATTATACTTTGTAAAATATTAGTCAAAGGAGCCAGGAAAAAATATTAAACAATGTAATATTATGATAAAAATATTCAATTTACTATTTCTTAAGGTGTTGAATGGATTTTGTTTTCTCAACAGCGGCTGGTGCATGTACCATACTTTTACTCGTAAACTCAATTTGGCGGTGAAGAAGCAGCATTTTCTGTTGCTCACCGTCGCAATAGCTGAGCATTGCTCTACGAGCAATGTGCCCGGCTAAAAATCATAATATTTGTAATGATATATCATATTCTAGACTTGACATACAATAAACAATGATAAGAATTATTGTTGCATATCTGCAGTGATTTTCTTTGATCTTTCTGTGGTGATAATTTATCCCATAATATCACATGTGTGATAATACTTTCCAAACATGTTTCAAAGTTTTTACACTCTTTATCATACAGTTTTAAAGAACAGTTTTATGAGCTCATAAGTATATTAAATGGTTAATTTATCAAAACCTGCATTTAAAAATTCAGAAGTCATAAGTTAAACCAAATTGTCCAGGGTATTCTTAGTAAGGTATGTCAAAGGTCATGGTTAAGTGACTTTGTAAGGCTGGTATTTTTTCTTTTGTTTTATGGCAATCAGTGCACATGGTAAATAGCATAAAATTACCCTTAAAGGTCTTATGCAAGGAGATAGCTAATTAAAATGAACAAATGTAGTTTTATGTATGATGTATATAGAGACAATAATATTTCTTTTCTTTTTTTCATTTTCAGGAACTTTACGTAGGTCTACAGTTTTAATTTTGGACTCATGCACTAGGAATATCATATCAGCAGAATTGTGCCACTGAATCAAAGGGAACTCTTTTTTTTTAGGTACGCATGATCAATGTAACTTCCTCGATGGTGTGTTGGCTGTTTGCCCATGTGTATTTTGGGGTATAGGTATGTTTAGTCTCAATTTTCTTTCTTAAAAGCCGCTTAAGGGGTATATTTTTTCTGATCTCAAATTTTGTCTAAGCATTAATCTTTTTTCTCATTCATGAATTATCTGCTGATCAGAGTCTAGTTAATTAATTTATTTAATTAAAGCTATATAGTAACATATAGTGAAATTATTTCCTTGTGTGAGACCTAAAGAAAATCAGGTTACTCATTTTTATGACAATTTCTTTGATTTCAGGAGTAGCCTCCCCTTTTAAAGATCAAAAATGGTGATTTTACAGTGCGGCATGCAGTCTGGTCTTCAATGAAGAGTTTTGACACCTGTAATACCCATATTTCTACCATTCACCTCTGTAACCTTTGTTGAGTTCATCAGACTGGTAAGAAAAACAATATTGTTAATTGAAATAATTTTATCAAGATAAATAAAATAATTAATGAAAAAAAAATTACATGAACACTGACTCCCTCATATAAGAAAATGTCACATTTTACACATTGCAATTATACATCATTTACATATTCACATTTTCCCCATTTACACATGCAGTTGAATAGATTTAGTGCTTAATAATACAACAACAACAATTATTACACGAATCCTAAGACAATTCACAAAATACATGAATGCATTAAACTGTGAAATACAGATTTCGTACATTTAATTAAAATGCACAGCATCAGAACCCCCCCCCCCCTTCACAATCTTGCAACTTTCTTTTTAATTCAAAGTCACTAGGCAACACTAAAGATTTCCACTTATTGTCCCCCGCTTTCGCGAAAGCGAGGGGACATTAAATCTCATTCGTCTGTCTGTCTGTCCGTCAGTCTGTCCGTCAGTCTGTCCGTCACAAAAACTTTAACCTTGCCCATAACTTTTGATTTAGTGGAGCTATGACTTTCATATTTCACATGTGTATTCCTTGTGACTAGACCTTTCTTTGGGTATCACCAAATTTGACCTTTTGACCTTGAGCTTGGAATTTGACCCACTTTTACACAAAAATTCAAAACTTTTACTTTGGTCATATCTTTTGAATAGTAGGTACTAGGACTTTCATATTTCACATATGTATTGTTTGTGGCAAAACCTTTCATTGGATACAACAACCTTGACCTTTTGACCTTGACCTTGGAGATTTACGTACTTATGAAAAAACTTTAACCTTGACCATAACTTTTGAACAGTGAGGACTAAGGCTTTCTTACTTCACATATGTAATCCCTGTGAGAAGACCTATCAATGGATACCAATAACTTGTACCCTTTGACCTTGACCTTGGAGTTTTAATTACTTTTTAAAAACTTTAACCTTGGTCACAACTTTTAAACAGTAGATAGTCGGACTTTTATATTTCACATATGTATTCCTTGTGGCAAGACATTTCATTGGATATCAACAACCTTGACCTTTTGACCTTGACCTTGGAGATTTACGTACTTATGAAAAATCTTTAACCTTGACCATAACTTTTGAACGGCGGGGGCTAGGGCTTTCATACTTCACATATGTTTTCCTTTTGAGAAGACCTTTCATTGGATACCAACAACTTTTACCCTTTGACCTTGACATTGGAGTTTTAACTACTTTTTAAAAAAACTTTAACTTTGGTCACAACTTTTGAACGGTAAATACTAGGACTATTATATTTCAAATAAGTATTCTTTGTGGCAAGTCCTTTCATTGGATATCAACAACTTTGATCTTTTGACCTTGACCTTAAAGATTTACGTACTAATGAAAAAACTTTTAACCTTGACCATAAATTTTGAACAGTTAGGGCTAGGGCTTTCATACTTCACATATGTAATCCTTGTGAGAAAACCTTTCATTGGATAACAACAATTTTGACCCTTTGATCTTGACCTTGGAGTTGACCTACTTTTAAAAAACTTTTTACTTTGGCCATAACTTTTTAACGGTCAGGATTAGGGTTTTCATCCTTAAAAAAATCAACTTCAATGTTACTTTCTAAATAAATGACATATGATAGGATGTTCATATTACACACAATATGTCATAAAAGATAACATCTCACCCACAAAGACACCGAAAGCGGGGGACCGCAATTCTTTGAATTTGCTTGTTGCTTTTCTGTCCAAGACAGGAAGTTGAGGAACAAAGTTGACAGGACATCCTGAACTGTCTTCGCTACCAGCTTATGAGGGAACCAGCTGCAGTGGACAAAGTATGTTACATCATAGGATAATAGGTAAGTCTCCGGAGTAGTGTTTGTAGCAATTCTCGTACTTGGTCCTGCTTCGAAGATTCAGGACTATTGATATTTATCTCTGCTTGGTTTGGTTCTTCCCAGAAACATGTTACTGGTGGTGGTCCCTATATTCTTCTGGCTTTTGTGGTGAGGAATGTTTCATTTCTAGCTCTTTTCTGATCACATTTTGTCTATCTAGCTGTTTGTCTGTCTGTCTGTCCATCTGTCTGTCTGTAAACTTTTCATATTTTCGACTTCTTCTCTAGAACCCATGGGCCAATTTCAACCAAACTTGCCACAAAGCATCCTTAAGTGAAGGGGATTCAAGTTTGTTCAAATAAAGGGCCACACCCTCATTCAAGGGGAGATAATTGGGAATGAATGTAAATTTGATGGTATGTTTTAAAAATCTTGTTCTCAAGAACCACTGTGCCAGGAAAAATGAAACTTATGGAGAAACATCCTCAAGTAGTGTAGATTTAAATTTGTTCAAATCATGACCACTGGGGGGAGGGCGGAGCCACAATGGCTGACCAAAGTTTAACATAAAAATATATATAGGAAAATTCTTTAAAAATCTTCTTCTCAAGAATTACAAAGCCATAATTGATCCTATTTATATGGAAGCATCCTCAGGTAGTGTCGATTCAAGTTTGTTCAAATCATAACCCCCGGGGTAGGGCGGGGCCACAATGGAAGATCAAAGTTTTACATAGAAATATAAAGGAAAAATCTTTAAAAATTAGGGCTGCCACGGTTCAGACATTTTTCGGTTCGGTTCGGTTCAGAAAACAAATTCTCGGTTTTCGGTTTTTTCGGTTCGGTTTTCTTTTTTAGAATTTAAATAAAACATCTTTATATATATCAAAGGATAATAAGGATTAAGGACATTGTAGAAAGTACTGTTTTGCTGACACAAATTTCTATCCATTTTATTCAACAGAACAAGTTTTTAAAAGTAACAAAAACTAACAAAGTAATAAACTTCTTGTTTAAAATAAAATAAAATAAATATAGTTATTGACTAGAATTATCACCAAATCACAAGTGTGGGAATACTTCACGTTTTTGAAAGTAGGGGACGTGGTTGACAAAACAATTACTTGTGATGTGGTTTTCCTTCCACATGTGTATGCCATGTTTAAATGTCTTCGATGTTACCTGTATTTTCATTGGTTAAAGAATCCTTCATTGAAATAAACAACCAATCACAATGCGTGTTGCAAGCAAATTAGTATTATATAAAAGATTAAAAAAACCGAACCGAATTCCGGAAAACCTGACTCGAACCGAACCGAATGCCATTTCGGAGCGGTTAACCGAGTTTTCGGTTAACCGTGACAGCCCTATTAAAAATCTTCTTCTCAAGAACAGCAAAACCCTGATTGATCATATTTATATGGAAGCATCCTTAGGTAGTGTAGATTCAAGTTTGTTCAAATCATGTCCTCGGGGGTAGGACAGGGCTACAAAGGATGATCAAATTTTATATAGAAATATATAGGAAAATTCTTTAAAAATAACCTTCTCAAGAAAAGCAAAGC